ATATATATACATATGCAATATTAGTGTTCCCAGTTCCTTTTCTGTCGCGGGCATTTCAACTCCGAAGTGTAACGGGTGGTAATTTAATCGGTACATACTAAAATCTTACTTTTTCGTTTGTTTTGCGCAGCCCCCCGATATCAGATCGTCGCGGGCATTTTCACTCCGAAGTGTAACGGGTGGTAATTTAATCGGTACATACTAAAATCTTACTTTTTCGTTTGTTTTGCGCAGCCCCCCGAATATCAGATCGCCTTATGGGTCCCCGTCCTTTGACCCGGGTACTCGAAGCACTCCAGCTTTCCATCAGTCTTTGCGGTTTGTTGGAAGCCCCCGCCCTCCAGCTGCAGCTTCTTTCAACGCACCTCCCGCCCATTTTATGCCTTACCCGTGCGCAAGCCCTGTTGATCAGTCCTCCGGTTATCCATCTATTTACAACTCCCCGATGTGCCCGCCAAGCTTCCGTTCCAACTATTCTCAGAACAGCATCGCGACTCCGTCTTATATGTCTGCTCGCGAGCAGCTCAACAACTCGATGGATGCTACTCCAAGTAGTTTCCGTGGTGGCAGGAGCTCTTTCCTATCTTCTAGACATGACCGCAGTACTTCGAGTCCTCATGTGGGTTGGATTACCCGTGCCCTGTCAGATCCATGGGCTGATATTATCCCAAAACAGGCACCAGAAACCGGTTATTGTCTGGTTTCCAGACCGTTGGCTCAGCGCCATACGGTTTTATTCGCACCACGGCAGCTTCGTCGCAAAGCTGGTGAGGAGCCAGTAGATGAAACGAGCCTTGATCCAAAACGAATGTCGCTTGAAGAATTTGATGGTGTGATCGATGGGGACTCGCTGCCTTGTTTTTCAGAGCTCACGAATTCGAATGCAGAATGATGTTGGATGGAGTATTTTTTACAGACTAACTTTGTTTTTCACGTTCCTCCTGAATCCTGTCGAATTATCGTACGCCAACTGTACAAATCGTCATCCTGATGAAAAGGGATTTTTGCACTTTCCCATTAAATATTCGTGCTGACAGGCCGTTCGGAAAGACCTAGCTGTCGGTAGAATGTTGTTTTTTTTATAGAATTCACGATAAATCGTGCAGACCTGTCCTGTGCTGACTCATTTTAATTTGGACGTCGAACCGTTTCTAAACTCTTGCTCGTAAGACAAATTAGAAAGAATATTATTGAAATGGTCAAACTGAAATGTTATTCAGGAGAAGACACCCGAAGGAAGCACGAGGGCTTGAATACTGCCAGGTTGCCCAAGCCTACACAGAAGAAGTCAAGATGCAGAGGCCGGGTTCGAACCACGGACCTGCTCTGTTCTGCAGGCGGACTAGCTTTGGGGGCTGGTTCTGAGGGTAAGTTACTGTGAGCGACTTGTCTGTTGACAGCGGAAGTACTTGGGACACAGTAAAAGTGGCCTAGATTTGTCTTATTGGCTGCTGTCGAAAAGCATCTTGACAAGTAATAAAATTAGTATTAATCATTCAGCTGTAACATCCTTCCGGTGCCTAGCTGCTATTCCACCTGAAGAAAGCACCCAGGCTGGAATACTGCCAGGTTGCTCAGCCCTAGACAGGAGCAGTCGAGATGCTGAGGTTGCTGTCGAACGATGGACCTTCAGGTCAGTAGTTTTGCGCATCAACCACTGAGCTGTCTCGAGCCCAAGTAGAACAACGGTTGCCTCAGATACGTTGGTGGTGGTGGTGGCCCGTGATCTGCTTCTTGTGTACAACGGTTGCCTCAGATACGTTGGTGGTGATGGCCCGTGATCTGCTTCTTGTGCACGACGTGGACGATGTAGTAGGACGTGGAATATGCGAACGGACTCACAAATGCTCGCGGACGCCGTCTGTCGAAGGCGTTTTGATCAATTCGAAGGGAAGCAACACGACTGGGGCGCCGGCAGAAAAATTTGGGACTCGAAGAGGTACCAGTACGGATCACATCATGAGGTGCCCCTGTATTGCAACCGGGATGCTGGGAGCAGCCGATTGCAGATGCGTACACCGCAGTTCCATGTTATGGCTAACAGCAGCACGTAGAGGCAAATGCGGCGTCAAGCGAGATGGCAAATATCACCACATGCTGTTGCTGCCCGGATGGGAATCCACCCCTTCGTCCGTCGCCTATTGAACTGGTCTTGGTAAACAGCCGGTTCGTTTGGGAAGTTTCCTCTTTGCCTAAACAACATTTACCAGACGTACCATCATCTGACGAAATTTTACTGGACTTCTCGGGTTCCGCTCACCAACTACTGCAACTGTGCAGGAGCTCACCGTTTTTTTCATTTGGAGTTGATGCCCACAGGTTTCTGTGAGGTCCTAACTGCAGGTCATTGATGAGGCGAAGAGACTAATGGGGCGACTGATGGGCAAATATGTCACGTCTGATTTCGAATGTATGACTCAATATGTCTCAGTATAATACCTGAAAACGCGGGTCTTTGAACTTTTAGTACAACCCTCGGTTAGAGGAGGAGATACAGCAACTTTTGAACAGACAAAATTGTCCTTTTTTTGGGATCAGCACTTCTCAGGTATGCGTCGGTTGGAGAGGGCTCAGTTTCTGGGACAAGGTACTTGTATGGTACACAAGCATGTCAAATATATGCGAAAAATTTGCCAGCCGTTTCCGAATCATGGTCTATTAGCTCTACGGCAAAAGATCGTTATTTTTACTTACTGGTCGTAAACTGTGGGTAGCTTGTTTCCTCAGCTAACTGCACGTGACCACTGTCTCGCTGCGTATGTGGTGCGTCGTGTTAGATATCAGTAGTGTTGAGAGAGAACTTGCCAAACGTTGCAAACACAAAACAGACGTTCTGAGACGAGACTCTAATCTATTAGAAGTGGATTCTACGTTGATTCACCGCGCATCCCTGATTAATTAGTGGATATCGTTTGCTCACTTCATTAATGACTCTCTCGTATGACTTACACCATGTACCAGAAGTTGTTTTGAACCGGACTCTAAAAGGACATTAGTTCGTGCCGATGGGAATTTCGATTTCCCCACAATATCGGTTGACGTCCTCCATAGCTCATCTGTTGAACTATTCGCCAAGGAAGCCCTGCCCCATGACTCCACTCTTTTCATTTCCATTACGCTTGGCAGAGTCCCTATTTCGACACATTGATCGCAGAGCCCCGTCTTCTCTATATCACGTCGACAATGTACGCCGAAAATATGCATGTTCTAAGGTTAAAAATCGGTCAAGCTTAGAAAATGGTGTTATATATGTATATAATAACCGAATCCTGATTAAAGCAGTCTGTCTACTCGTCAGTACTAGTCGGACTAGTTATTTGCAATTTATCAACCGTATTTTGAGACTATCTTAAGATCTTCATGTCAATTGTCCTTGAATCGGACCATTGATGAAGGCCAACCGACAGCCTGCTACCTGCATCACCTCGGCTGTGACCAAACGGTCATTCGGGTTTCTTCGTTGGCTGAAAACCGGTTGGTACTGAGCACCTTGAGCTGCTGTGAACTCGTGACCTGCTGGGTTTTCCAGTTTGGTTTATCTCAACTAAATGTACAACCTAAAGGTCCAGAACACTCTGTTCTCCGGGCAGTGTTCACATAGAAGACGTCTCTGCCACTTTGTTGGAGACCAACAGGAGTGAAATCAGTTTTGAGAATGACAGTGTACGAGTAGGTATGGGGAAATGGAACTAGGCGTTGTTTCTAGTCCCATCACATCCGCATGTTTTGGGGGCGAGATGGCCCAAGTGGTTAGAACGCGAATTTACTGACCGGAATGTCCGTGATTCGAATCCGACCTCTGCCTTTCGACTTCCCCTGTCTAGGCTTGGGCAATCTGGCAGTATCCCAGCCCTCGTGCTTCCTTCGGGTGGCATATCAGATAGGCACCGGAAGGCGCTACAGCTGAACGCTTTCTTTTTCTTTTTCCGCATGTTTTGGCCTAATTTCGTTCTGTGCCCGAAGGCACTTACCAACCGTATTTTCTTTTCTTTCTGTGAATGGATAGCTGGTATCCAGAGTAAGAGCAGCGCGGCAACAACTGTGTGCGATTCGTCTTCCCCATCAGATCGCGTGGAGTGAGGTAGTTCATAAGAAGGTTTGTGACGTGTCAACTGTATTTGAGAGCGCTTGTGAACAAAACTGATACACTTGCAAAGGGGGAATCGTATTGCTGCAAGATAAAATGGATAGTTGGGGAACACAAGTGAGTAACCGAGAGGTATGAACCAACCAGTCACATTAAGAAATTAAGTAATTTAATTAACGTAGAATATCACCAATAAGGATGCAGCAGATAGTGAAATACACTTATTTCCAAACAAATTCGCTTTTGCGGGAGACTCATCTGGAACCCCTTTCTGAATCTCCCGTTTATGATGTTTTCAAGCAGCGCATTCGGTTGCTTGAAAACATCGTAAACGAGAGATTGAACTGGGTTCCAGGTGAGTCTCCCGCAAAGCCAAATTTGTTTGCAAATGAGTGTGTTTCGCTAATTTCGTGCAATTTGGGTTCAGGTAGAACATAGGTAGCAACCTTATGAGTAGTGTTCTACGTCTATAGATGCAGCAAATACTTCGACAACCGATGGCGCCATTCTCTGGGGGGTCATCACATAATCTCGAGGTTTTCATCAACCCTATGAATAGCGTGAACACCAGGTTGTACACAGCCGGCGAGTTGTACTTTTTGGCAGGTCACCTTGGTGTTAACAGGAAAAACAACGGAACCTATAGTCTACGCACGTTTAACCATGACATGAAGAAAAGGTCGGGAACCACGCCCATCCGACGAGTCCCAAGAAGTACGAAACCGCTCATGCTGTACCGAACACCCTCAATACACCAATAATAAATAATCATGCGTAACTAATTTACAACCATGGGAAAGAATTCCTAGTAAATAGGGAATAAAGAAGTGAAGAGCAGGAACTCAAAAAACCAGGTGTGTATCCCAACGAAAACGATCCACAACATTGTAGAGACACGTTGGAAAAGAAACAAGGTAAAATGAATTTGAGAATCACGTTGAAGAAAGACGCCATTAGATACATTATGAAAATCGAATGCAGTGTATTCAGTCAGGATCAGAGTGGGGTGAGATGAGAGACGAATAAGTACGTTTTTCTCGGGGTGTTTAGTTTGAACAGTGGCGTGTGCTAATAGCAAGCCAGGTAAAGCACGCTCACTCCCAGGAAGATCAATCACCTCAAACAAACGGGCTGAATAAGTGTTCAAACGGTGGTCTAAGAGGGTTGAAGTTAAGAAATCTCTCGTCACTCGAGTGCCTAGTGTACGTTCAAATGTATATAGCTGGTGATTTGGAGATTGGCAGATAAAAAATATGAGTCACAGTACGATACGAGATCAAATACCGATCAATTACCTTGTTTAGTCATCCGCTGTTGTGGAAATACACATATGATCAATTATTAAGAAACGTAAGTTGAAAATCTTCAATTCTGTTCAGTGGAACTGTAAATGAAATTCCATTATCTGTAAACTTGAAACCGACAGAGATTCATCAGTTCCCACCTATTGTCTGCCGACAATGAACACGGAACGCTCTTTAGATCCGGGGACATTTTGACATTGACAGAATGTATATTTTCAAAGTCGTTTAGTGAGACAGAAAGAATACTACATTCGGAACAATCGTTTGAGGATCAGTTTCTTGTGACTGATCATTATAACTCCAAGTTTCTTAAGTTATCAAGCCTGGGTGCTGTATGTGCTCCGGTTGTCCGTACTGGTTCGGCTTTTTGAGTGAAGTCATCCCAGCTTTTTTAAGACCGGTTCCTCAAGAATAGCGAAACCGGTGGCGGGCGCTCCCAGGGTTTTAAGCTGTCCCGTGAGTAGTGTTCTGTGGTACCTCAAGAGTGCACTAAGTGAAAGATAAAGATTCAGTTGAGGAGTGTTAACTAACTGAATTTGTAACTGAGTTTAATTAGCCTCATCCTTTGCTTTAGAATTTTCGTGTACCACACCGCGATGTACCCTGACGAAGCTAGAACGTCCAATCAGCTTCACGTTGGTGTGCTTTTAGGGTACAAAAATAATCGAGGCTTGTTGGACAAGATCATTTTGACACATGAACATGCTTGAACGTACGGGCAACTCAGATGGAATTGAGACTTCCGTTTACGTTGATGAGGCAATCCGTCCTTGTACACTGATATCAGCTCACAAGCCATTTACAGAATCTGGCAGGGCGTTTTCACCGGACGAATCAATTGAACTTCTCCAGACCACCTTTGTCTCATTTCGCTCTTCAAACTGTTCAGCAAGCATATTGTTTTGTTTATAGCTTCATCACATGGCGGAGTTTGCTGGTTGTGCTAGAAATGCAGCTGATTTTATGAAATGTAGCTTACTGGTGGTTAGTAAGTAGTATTGGAGCCTCATGGATGCTTTCGCACAATGTACAATTCAGTTCATTCCCTCTCCTAGTTTTCAGACCGTAACGGCAGGCTAACTTAGTAAATGGGAACCCAAATTTACACAGTTGCACGTATTCTCCTTGAAAATTTCTAAAACTCAACAACAAAGCCGATCTCATTCTTTGCCTTGTCGTTCTCCACAGTATTCAGTGTATCCATATTTTAATGTGGTTTTTATTCCGAGCTACCCTATTTCTCGAAAATCTCAGATTTTTCAGTCAAGCTCCTAATTCAAGCTTTCTTCCGCCTCAAGACAACTGGGAATTACTAACTCGCAACAGTTTCGTCCCGTCATAAAATGTCAAATTTTCGGTGAAGCTGAAAGTGATGAGGCGAGTGTACACAACTAGCTTGGAAGCTATGAGCAACCGCCCGATAAGACAACGAGCATGTCAGGATAATGAGCAAAGACTCACGATTCAACGCGACTGGGGGTAGAGAAAATAACATTTCAGGTTATTCCATCAAATTCGCATCAAACTAAAACTGTGGAAGTCTTTACCCACAATGTTTGTTGTGCTCTTATTAGTTGTATCCAAAACCCGTGTTCGCACGTCGCAATGCACCCAGAAGAAAACGGAACGGAATCCGAAGAGTTCTCAGAGTTGACATCTAGCATATGGGCTGCTGGTGGGCAGCTCCTTTGAAAAACATCAACTGAAGGTCAGCTGGGATGATTCACCGGGATGAAATGGACCCGCTTTTATCGATTTCGGCCGATACATCTTTGAGTGTGGGTTAGAATACTCCAAATAGGTCCCGTCACTATAGCCATATTTGGTGCTTCTTGTCACAAACCTCAAAGTCGTGCCTAATCCGGGTGTGATAACGAACTTAACGGATTGTATTCCAACATTAGGATAGAAAAATCACTAACGAAATAATCTGCAGGTAGGCCACCAACACCCATGTGGTAACCTAACAGCCACCGACATTCGTCTACCACCACAGTTTCAAGGAATCAAGCATAGACGGAATAGAATGACTGGTCTTACCCAAGACGCCGTTCAACTCTTTGGTCACTGGAATTTAAAGGAATCGACAGATGTTTTGTCAGAATGTTCCGCAAGTGGACTGGCAAACGGACAAATGAGTTGTGAAGGGAAGCGAACCTCACCGCAAGCACCCATATAAACTGGAGCCAATCCTTCTTGCTCGGCTGAAATATAGCCCAATTTCTCATGTAGGTCAACAAGTCGGGAATGAAGAGTAGTATTTTGAAACCAGTCGTGGAAACCAGTTTACGGACCTCTCAGGTAACTCATAGGTTGCCACCTGGACGCCAGCCCCACAAAAAACAAGACTTTTCCCACCTTATTTCTCACTGAAGTCAGTAGATGGTGATGGGCCTTCCGCCTGTTGACATTTCGTTTCATATGAACCGACAAGATTCCCTCGGAAGAATTACTGATGGGTTGTCGAAACCTGAAAGTCCGTATGGCACAGATCCATCTTTCACTGTTGCTCTCACATCTAAGTTTAGGAGCGTGTGACACCTCTTGTAACGAGAAAGCAATCAAGTCATATGCACTTGATGTAATGGTTGTTGGCCCTGAACCCACTTGTACCTTTACGAAAATACCACATTTCAATTTACTTGTGTGTGTCAAGCGTATGCAAGCATCTCACTTAGCTGGTATTCGCAGTTTCACCAAAATTTCTGACGGCGTTCGAAAATCACCAGAAGGAATTTATACAATGACTGGAACTGGCGAGCGAAACGTCAATTTTGTGTGTTGTATCATTCATGCGGACACGTGTCACCTTGGTAACCCATACCCTTACTCTACTTTTTGCGTTGGATGATCATGCAGACGAATGAATTTGATACACTGTCGAATGTTCTTAATCATACAGAAAGACACAATGCGTTTTGCTTTTTATACAGGCAACTTTATGTACCGCCAGGCAGTCACCACTTACCGAATTTACTTTGAACTTTCTCTGTGGAGAGTGCAAATCAGAAATTGTCGGATGCTACTCAATATTTTTCAGTAGTCTGTTATTTTAAATATTTTTCTCTCAATGGGCTTGGTTGGTACAGAGAGCTTCTGGAATACAAATCGAAACCGTCTTTTCATTTTAGACTCTTCACCTTCAATTACGTAGCCTCTGTACGGACACCCTACCTATTACTCATTTTGTGAATCTCCTTCAGCTACGCTGAGGTACTGTGAGTGGGTCTCAGTTTCGCCATTTTTGGGGTCACTAACTGTAGTTAGTACCCAGAATTCCACCAAGCGTGTAGTGTTCTGAACAAGAACTTTCTTCTACCACACAATTAATTTCGTGTGGGGGAAATACTTCGGGAATTCGAATCTTATTCCCACTAAACTATGAGGCAACCTTTGTAGCTTTACCCCTTTCTTGCTGTTGGTAACTTTTGCCGTGATCTTTTCTGTTTACTAAACCGGGTGGGAAAAGGAGATTTCGGTTCTTTACACGCACTTGCTCGCGTCCACCGTACACCCACACAAGTACTTGCAGACACACACGCACACCCTTGAAACGGCACGGCCAATCGGGTAGTTAATCATTCAGTTTGATCGTCGCTGATGTTTGAATTCACTGGCTAAATGATCACAGTTTATTAAGACGTAAACCTTTCTCGTATGTTGTACGGACGTACAGCTATGGGTTGAATAGAATAAACCTGTCCAGTTGAGAGCCGAACAATAGGAATCTAGATTTATAAACCAGGTATGCGAAGAAGCACTTTTATACACAGTGGAGACGTTACGTTCTAGTCAATTTGGACTGCGCATCTGGTACCTTGACCTGAGGTCTACTACAATTTGATGAGTAGCATAACAGGGAAATTGGTTTCGTTTTCGAATTGCATCTAAAAAATTTAGACATTTGTTAGAACCGTTCTCATTCGTAACGGAGTACTCATCTCGACATATTTCCGAATGGATGTTGCCTCCAGGGCAAATTATATTTCGCCGGCTATCACTAAGCATTCCTCACGGTGAGGTAATTGATTCTGTTATGAAGCCTTTGGAAGGGTCTTTTGTCACCTGGCCACTTTGGTATTCGAAAAAGGTGTTGATGGGCCTTTTTGGGTTGTCTTTGAGAGAGTCTCATCCACGCTTAGTTCAGTTGGCTGATATTTCAAATTGACCATATTTTCTCCGCCATTCTTGCGCTCTGCCTGTAGCAGACAGTTATTAGAAGGGTAGACTGAAACTGTACAAATTTTGTCCTACAGTTTCATCGTTGCCAGCGTCGTTGTAGCCAATCATGCTCGTGGATATCAATATAGTTGTAATGAACCCCGATTAAGCACACTGCACAACGTCTTACGCAGTAAAGTGAAAAAATAGAAAGAATAGGTGAGAACTTCTAAGGCAAGATACCTAAATTCATCAAGGGCGTTGAATCTAGCAAGTGGGGGGGGGTGGAATGATCGACCCAGCGACTTTTGAAAACTTCACAAAAGTCAAGGTCAGCATAGGAAACTTGACCAGACAAAGCGATTGTCTATGAAGCCGGTTTCATTAAATCGTTTACAGGGTTTCCAACATCGTTCCAGGAGAATCACGCGAGCTTGAACCAATAAAGTACGAAGAATTCGCGGGGCTTTATTTGACAACTGTCGACTTTAGCTCGTTTGATATGTGATGAGTTATTTCTGTGAACCTTATTTCTTCGATTGAAATTCTCCAACCAGCTCGGTACAGGCCTCATCTGTTGCCGAACTGGTTCGTATTCATCACCTATTATTCTATTGCACAAAATTTAACTTCAAAATGCCATAACCAGTTAACATCTGTTACGCAACTCCGACGTCGACGTTGAATGGGCCGATGTGAGAAAACGCAACGTGAGATTGGTTTTGGTGCAAATGCTACAGAGTGCTTCGCTTCTTTCTGTTTCACGTCCCTGAATATATATTAGCTTGCTTTAAACTCACGAGAGCCATAGTTTTTGCCTGTAAGCGAAAGTGTTTAGGAGAGCCACAAAGTGTTATGATTGTAAGGGTACTCAGTTGGTTTGAATGCAGATTTGAACAACGGGAAAATGAAGAATTATTCTTTAACAGCCAAAACAAACTATTACCGACCTCTGTCATTGCTTACAGTTCTGATGCAACCCACAACCTCAGGGGCCATGTTTGTTCTATCAAATCGGCACTCTCAATCACTAAAGGACAATGTCCAACTGCATGCACACGAGTGTCAGCACTCTTGCGTTAAAAGCAGCGGCTATTTACTGCCTGACTGCCTGACTGACTAACCAACTAACTAAATAACTACTAAGCAACCCAACTAACTAACTAACTAACTAACTAACTAACTAACTAACTAACTAACTAACTAACTAACTAACTAACTAACTAACTAACTAACTAACTAACTAACTAACTAACTAACTAACTAACTAACTAACTAACTAACTAACTAACTAACTAACTAACTAACTAAGTAACTAGCTAACTAACTGACTGACTGACTAACCAACTAAATAAATAAATAAACAAAAAATGAATAAATAAATAGATAACTAGCTAACTTCCAATTAGCACGATTATGGCTTCCGTCGCTAACTGAGACCAGGTCAGAGCAGCATGGTCTATGAGTATTCGACACAAGGTAGTCTGGCGGTCCACATTAACCCAGGGGGACAAATACAACATGTTTTTAACGTTGGTTGGAATTAAATGGAGAATAGGAGACTGGGACTGAGGATTTATGTTTCCGATCTAATCTTTGTTAAACAAGTTCAAAACTGCAACGAGACATTGTACACTACCAATGAGACTTACCCCATACTGTAAGGAAATTAAGACATTTAGAACTCATCGACAATTGAGAAACAAACATCTTCAGTTGAGAAATCCTCTTAGTTGCTTTCAAAACGAAGCTTTGTTTGTGGTGGGCAAGAACAGGTTAATGTCTTGGGGTAGACAAGAGTTCTGTCGTTACGCGCAGCGTGTACCCATGAGTCTGGCACTTCCTTGGAGGGATTTTTTTTATCTGGACCATCTATAAGAAAGTCGGAAATCATGATGTACAGCTTTTCAGGGTTCGGATTGCACACCGTATCGTGGGTGATGCAAGGCATTGTTGCAGTTTCCGCAGAACAGAGTCCTTTTAGGAGTTCTCCCCTAATATGATTTGATGCACTTCTGCTCACTAAACAAGCGGAAAGACATGAAACATTGATGAGGCCATGAACACACTAATGGGCATATTTCAGAGAGCTACATCATGGATAGTTGTCGTGCTTTTTCGCCTACTAGCCAGCAGCGCTTAGTTTACTGATTCATTTTTAGGCTTATGTGAGGACGAACGCGTTTGCAAAGTGTCGGTCGTAAAATATGCAGTGTAGTGACTTGTAGTGACTACTGAACGATTGCCAGTAGCTGGAATGTGTCGAATTTTCCTCCTCATTCCATCTCCCTGTCGAATATGGCCGCGTGGCTGTGACTGGCCTTTCAAGGAGTCCAAAGTGGTTTTGCAGTGAATCGCGCTAGTCTTTTCGATGCCAGTGATGAGACTAATTTGTGGTATTCATTCACAGAAACTGACGTGGCCGCAACAACGAATATTAGGTTAGTATATCCCAACGAAACCTAGCAATGCCTCTATAGCTCCCCCAAAACAGGGTCCAAAACTGGTATACAGACTTAGATGGGCAACAAGCTCACACGTGGCTTTAGAAGCTGTCTGGAAAGATGCTTCAAGGAATTCTTTACTGAAGGAGTACTGTGACCTTGCCTTCTTCAACACCCATTACTGCAAGCGTTCTCATCAAGCTACCCAGATGTACGGCTCATCAACTTTTAGTTGGTCTTTTCTGCCTAAGTGGATTTATCAGACATATCGACCATGTCATCAGCAGGTGGATTCATCACATGACCTCAGGACAGAATAGTTCATTTCGTCCAGTATTCTAGAAGCGCGTACAATGTTGAATGACGGTTTAAATCCGGCTGAAACACCCTTTCGGTGCCTAGCTGTCATGCCACCCGAAGGGAGCACGGGAGCTGGAATATCGCCAGGTTGCCAAAGTCTAGAGAAGGGGAGTCGAGAGGTAGACGTCGGGTTCGAACCACAGAACTTATGATCAGTAAATTCGCGCTCTAAGCACTGAGGCATGCGGCCGGTCAAATGAATTTTGAACCAGGTCTAAAATGTTTCGACATAAACATCTACATCCATCGCCCACAAACCAGAATTATTTGTGTTCATTTATGCACAAAGCGTCAAGCTACATTTGACAAACACGGAGTTCAAACATTGTGCCATAAATATTGTTTTACACTGATATGACAAAGTCGAGGTAATTTGATGACAGAAAGTCAATCGATATACACTCTGAAGTATTGGTTGAAACTTTGCTCGAACACTCGTGATGTAGAACGGCTTGTGCGCACTTCTTTATTATGTACTAGTATGATACCACCTAATGAATCAAAGACTACGAAAAATGGAAGCCTCAAATTCACAGTTTCCAGAAATTGACACTTACCATTTCCTTTAAGTTTATCCTTCACATCTTCCAGATCCTCTTTGACCTCTTCAATGTCATCGTGGATTTCATCGAGAGCAGCCGATATCGATTTCGTGTTGCCTAAGTAACAAGGAAGGCAAGGAATTGATGCGATAAGCGAATTCTGCAATTACTCTAAGTCGAAACCTGAACGAATTTCAGAAAATAGTGAGACATCCGTCCGAGTGATTACGGCTAAACAAGATCACACTGATTCTAATGTATAATGTGCCAGTCGGGGTTGGTGTCAGTTCGTCCGAGTGATTACGGCTAAACAAGATCACACTGATTCTAATGTATAATGTGCCAGTCGGGGTTTGGTGTCAGTTTTTTTCACTCGTGTCCAGGTTCTTTCTAATGACGTGATTTTGTTTTGCTTTCGCCACACGAAGCTCGACAAACAACATGTCATTGCTGAGTTCAACTCTTAGCTCGCCCTGGTTAACAGGTCTATTAGCCGTTGGATTGAATAAGAACACCTACAGAAAATCAGGATAAATTAGGCTCACCTATTCTCAAATAACGTGTGAGTTAGCTTCGACGCTGAAAGTGGTTCACAAAATGAAATTTTTCCAGTCGCTAGACTGTCGCAGTACGCAATAGGGGGTGAATTGGACGAGGTTGTACTCAATACGGAGATTGTGGAGCTATCACTCTTCAAAGAACGCAAACCACAGGTATAGGGGTGGCATATCTTCGGAGGGAGTTTCGGAGTGAACCGTCATAACAGGAAGCAATCGTCTCCTCGCCAGCGTATTGACTACCTAGATCCGGATGCTACTAGGGGACAGCACTGCGTGTGAAATAGCATAAATTAGTCAATGAATTCAGCCATTTAGGAGGACTGTGTTAAGAAATTGCGTTTTAAGGAAAGTGTAATAAGATGTGATTCCCCCGGAGTACATTTAGTTGAAAGTTAATCTGTTGTTAACCGGTTACTAGACTGAAACCCTTGTTTATGATAATATTCAAATGGGTGTACGCCCCGTCGGCCGCCTCATGTTTTGGTCTGCACAAGACACCTCTGTACGCTTTCTTAACGTAGCCCTCAATTTATAAAGCCGATGAAAACAGCTCAAGAGCCCAATGCTGGTTATATCCATCCTGAAGCCTATCAGGTAGGCGTACTCATCAAGTTTCCACCTAAATTTCTACACAAATGGGGAGAAACTCAATTGGAAATTACTTTAGTGTGAACAGGGGACTCAAATGGACCCCTCGGTTATACACTTCTTTAAAAAAATCGGTCTCCTGGTAGAAGATCATGATGTTAGAAATCTTGGGACATTTGATTTGCATCAAGAAGGGCAGAAGTGATAGTGCGCTTTTGAAGAGTTTTCGAAAAAAACCCTCTGATTTGTGCTTTATTTCAAGTCTCATTTATGCTAGGAAACATCATAGCTTTGGTTTCAACTAAATCGGTGCTCGTGCCATCCGTAAAATTTTCTGAACCCTCGAGATTTTTCGGGCAAAGTTTACGATGACCAGTCTTGTTATCACCAGCAATCTTATTTGCTCCCCACGGAGTCGCACCACGTGTACACCTCCCCAAGGTATTCGTGTGACTTACATGCCGATTCCACATGATTCTGCTTTTTGATCAAAATGCGACGGAAAATTTATTGATCTGGAATACTCTGAGAGACTGAACGTTAAGGAACCTGGGCACTTTACATACGGATAAAAATCTGTTAGTATGAAAGGTCCGTTGAAATCGCAAAATGTTGAGTTGGCATTCGTATCTATTTAACAATCGTGAATAATGATGCCCAAATTTCAATCAGGCTTGATCAATTGCCAGATGATGCCCAAAAGTGGACAGGACTGGTGGTAGACCTCTGGTAGGATTCATTTCAAACTCCCGAATGAAAAGTACAAAAGTGGTTTTGTTTGCTGTCCCTATACTATCACGGTTACAAGTATTCTGATAAACGTGAATTTGACCACGAATACCTCATCAAGATGAACAATAAAACCAACTCCATGTCCTATAGTGGAAGTTACTGAATAGTTTTACAGCATCTGTTAACAAATGATATAGAAAATTCAAAATGGGAGATCCTTAAATGCACGGTTATTAATCAATGAATACTTACCAAAGGCCAATAAACTAGCAAGGAGGAGCAAGATCAGGGTCGAACGCATTTTTGCACCGGGCGTGAAAACGGGGATGGTGACCAGAGGTGAGATTTGAGAATGATCCAACTCTACAATGCTTCACTTTATATATGAGAGCGTGGTAATTAAAAGCTCTCTTCTGTCTCCCAAACATTCCAGAGTAAGTAGGGACAGGGGAGGGGGGAGGCAATGGAGAGCTGGGCCTGCCATGAAAAAAATTTGCTAATTAACCAACTCCAAATTGGCAAAACATCTTCTCATTATCTTCTATTCTTGATTTTCTCTCGAGAATTTACTCAGGCATATGGTGAGAAGAACAGTTGTAGTCATTTGAAGATCATTTGAGTATCCTGAAAGGTAGTTTTGGTTCGATAAGCTGTTTGGCCACAATTCTTTCATCAGAAAAGCAAAATGCCTAGATCATGAGATTCCCACATCCCTTTTGATATGATGGGTCCCTGACTCTCCGACGTTCAAATAACAGTCGTATGGCAGCAAACAGCGGATGGAAACAGAACGCTATTTTACTGAGGTGTAGGGAGGAAGAAATGAATTTTTAAACGGACAACTTTGTGCCATAGATTGGATGTCTGGATATCCGGCTTCCGATTCAGTGTGATTATTCGATATTTCCAGTGTCTGGCCCAAAATTTTTTCCTCGTTTCTATTTAGTCCAAAATGCATATAGTTCGAGCTGTGAACCAAGGTCCGCAGCAAACCACTTGTACGAGCTCCGGAGAAAGATCCCTACTGAACAAATAATTCAGTTAAACGGTGCACAAACTGAAGTCGGTGTCTCTGAAATGTACCTGATGAAAGGCACAATTTCTATGCATTTCTATGCATCTTCTTAGCATCGTGCTTTTGTGTGCTCAATTTGGAGATCCATTTACTTTTTCACCCATTATTCGATTTGTTTATTTGTTGTTTTATTCATTCAGTTGGTAAAGTATCTAATCATTGTCTCTTTTCTGTGCTACTCGTTGGATTGATCGATACTTTGATTCATTTAAACAAGCAGCGATTATTTGTTACCGCTTGGGTGTAGAGTGGGTTGATTTCTATTTGAGTTGATTGATTTTGCGGAGCGGTGCAATGTCCCTAAGAGCTCGCTTGCTTATCTGACGTTCCCAAAGTTTCTGCGTGGAATTCGTGTTTGTCGTGATATCTGTGTTCCGGGACCCTAGTGATTGGGTAGTGATTTATGATCACTGCTCTGTGTTTTCTGGGCCATGAAGATAGCCCATGTCTTGTCTGTGCAACATAACGTCGGTGGCCGTCCACCCAGTTGATTCTGCAAACATCATTGTTCTTTGTAATCTAACGGATTTTGACTTTTTCATGGGAAAAATATTCCTCATGGCGACTGGTTCGTGGTGTACCGGCACCGTTTTGATTGCACCCATCCTGCTGTGAGTTCAGACAGAATTTTTAAATCGGGTAGGAATATTCGGTTACTTTTTCTTTTAAATATGTTGTTACTATCAGATGGTCGCTTCCCTCGTTCTCCTTCAGAAAACATTTCACGAGTAGTGTTTGTTCCAAATAGTTTAGTTTAGTTTAGTTTAGTTTAGTTTAGTTTAGTTTAGTTTAGTTTAGTTTAGTTTAGTTTAGTTTAGTTTAGTTTAGTTTAGTTTAGTTTAGTTTAGTTTAGTTTAGTTTAGTTTAGTTTAGTTTAGTTTAGTTTAGTTTAGTTTAGTTTAGTTTAGTTTAGTTTAGTTTAGTTTAGTTTAGTTTAGTTTATTCACTTAGCATCTTCTCGGTTCCGTTATGGGTGCCGGGTCTGGCCATCCCACAGTACAAAGGGGTTGTTGTCGAAACAGCCCAGTAACTGGCCCTTCTGAGAGACGTGTGAATGAAGATACCTGTTTATATTACTGTTAACTAATACGTCCGGGAGTGACAGCCAATTTTTTTTATAAATTCAGCTGTAAATTTGATATATCCGAGTGTATTATTGTGCAGTTCATGTGCCTGTTGCACTGCGAAACGTTTTGCAATGAAAATATTGTCTGCTTAGCAGATCTAAGACGTTGGGTTGACTACTAACGCTGCTACTTTCTATGTGCTGGCTACCAAAAGAGTGCTTCTGTGATATGAATGGATGCTGATGACCCAGCTGTGGTTACTTTCGAGTTGAATTTGTCTACCCTATCTGAGGTACTTAGTTACGTAGATGAATATGTTTTCCGGCTTATAGCATCCGTTTTCTTCTGACTGTTCTTGGATGACCCCATTGAGCGAGGATGATGGTGAGCTGACGCAACGAATCTAGTGGTGTTACAGTAATCAAGACAGTCAAAGAGGGGAGAGTTCCTCGCTATTTATCTCTGATAGTCCGAACAATTGAGGCAGTGTTGCTGTTGCAAACATCACGTCTCTTTTAGCCATCTGACACAAATGCGGTGATATTTTGACATGTCGTTCACTCTCTCCGTTCGTGGACGTAAAGCTTGCAAGCTATATAAACGGAGAGTGGAAAAAATTCTGAACAGACGCTGGTTGATTGAATCTTTCT